TTAATTTCACAAGCTTTAAATTGCAGTTTAATTTGAAAACTAATTCAGCCTCATAATTGGCTTTCTGTTCAAATCACTGAGGCTAAAGATTTAAATTCTTAATATTCAGATGACTTTCAAGTTTCTGGCCCCATCTGTGCATTAGCCCATGGTGTTAATCTCTAAGGGAATCTCTGCTAGCATAGATATAAAATAAACAAACTGGAACACTAATAGAATAATCGACTTTTAAAATCCTTTTTTTTTTTTTTTTTTTTTTAAATATACTGCTTATTTTTATGAGATTCCTTAAACTCAATTTGCCACATATAGATTTGGCTCCCAGCGATTTCATTTTTCACATGGCACACTATCAACAATCATTGTGTCAGAATTCCATGAAATCAGGAGCAGACAGGGAAATTTCAAATTACAACATTTTGTCATGTTGGAAATACTGATTTCCCTTTATTTGGGGAGACTGTCCATTTTTAACATACCTTCACACCACCAGAACAAACCATCCTGCCCACACAAAACCATGAGATGGAACGAGTTGGCCAAAACTGAAGCTTGGACTTTTGCTATTGACTTGGAAGGGACCGAGATGCATCTATGGAGTCAGTGAGCTGGAAAGGATGAATGGGAATGGAAAAGGCCAATCTGACAGGAACAAATGGTTTTGGAGGGATGCGTTAATTTTTGACAATCTCTCTGTTAAAACAAAATAGATACAACACAGAGCAAAGCGCTCGAGTCACTGCGGACCATTTCACATTGACCTTTTCAGAACCGAATACTTTGCAGAAGTAAGACATCCCCACCCCACCAGAAGGTACTTTTTGTGTTGGCTGTATCAAAACTGAGCTTCTGCAGAAACCAGAGTAATTTTTCTTCATCACATTTTTGTTTTGTGACTGAATTCCTTTTTTTTTCTTTTTTTTTTTCTTTTTTTTTTTTTTTCCCCATTTAAAAGTTAAACACTCCCATCTAAATCACTCCGAAAGCAGAGGAACTGTTGTAAAGCATCACTCCGCTTCCCTGGGACACCCCTGAGAGGCTGTGGGCAGGCTGCAGCACAGGGCTCCTGGCAGGCAGTAATTGGGGTCGAATAGAGGGAAAAACCCATCCCAAACCTGCGCAGAGCCACGGGCTTTGAAAGGGCAGCAGGAACCCAGGCTGTGCGAGCCGTCTCGCTTTATCAGTGCTTGAAAGGCAGCTTGGGTAGCTCCGGGAGAACTTTGCTGATTAAGGCTGCCAGAGGGACCAGGGGGATTTCAGCTCTAGCTTGCAGCTGCATTTTTAAAACTTGGCTGTGTTCTTCATATAGAGGCAAAGTTCAAAGAGGCAGAACATTATTCAATATGAGTAAAACATGGCCTTTTAAGATACACTTTCAAACAGTGGCTCGTTAAATCAAAACAACTTGTGGGGGAAAAAGAGAAAGGAAGAAAGATGGTCATGTGAAAAAGAGAATCCTGCGCTGCTGTTCCTGCTCTGCATTTCTGGAAGAGCCCGCATTTACACATTTAAGCTGTCCAGCTGCATGACCTTAGGCTAGATAAACCAGAAATACATTAACATGTTTCACAGAGTATCAAAAAAGGAGAAAGAAATGCAGTGCAGTGTAAGAGCCAGCACACTCTGAAGTATTTACACAGGGCAGGCTGCAACACATGCATTCACACTACAGAGAATTTTTTATTGAGAGCACTGTGCTCTGGTGTCAGACACTACTTCAATTAAGTTATTATAATCTTAACCAGCACCAACAACCTATTATAATTAATAATCCTTGATGATTTCTTTTCTATTCCTGTCAAGGGTTGCTTCAAGGTGACTCGCATGCTGCAGAGCTCCTGGGAGCTCGGGAGGCTGAGAGCTGAGCAGCGCTGGGTCACAAGCCCTGCTGCTGCCCCAGAACTCCACACTGCTGCCAGCACTCCAGCTCTTGGACAGTCCCCTGGGAAGGCTGTTTGTCTCGTGGGCTAAAACAAACCTGCTCCTTCCATGGGAAGCAAAGCACCCAGCAGCACCACTCCACAGGCTGGAGCGCACCGTCCTTCCTGCATTCCCATTTTCCTGGTTCATGCTATCTCCTTTTGCCTTATTCAATGCAGAGAGAGCAGGTTACGTCTTACACCTTACTTGACCACCCTCCCTTCCCTGCAATAGTCAGGCATGCTTTGCAGCCATCCCGCACGCAGGATGTTCTCCGCATCCCAGCTGCACAAGGGGACCAGGCTGCAGCATCCTCCGGAGGCACTGTTCTGCCCACAGGACCCCGTGCCAGATGCTGTTGCTTTGCCCCGTGATGGCACTGCAGGGCCTCTCTTCCCCTTAAATGCGATGGGCTCCACTGACCCCGCCAAGCAGCTTGCAGGGGCTTTCCCTCCAGCTCAAGGTCACTGCGCCCTGCTCGATCTGTGCTCAACAGCTTATCTGTGATGGTCTTGCTCTGGGAAATGTTCATGGGTAGAGTTCGAGCTCCATATGTCCCATTTCCTTTTTTTAAAATCTGGGCCAAATTCCTACCGACTTCAGGCAGACACTGGCTGTTCACACTAGCTGCCCACAGAGTCAGCGTTTACTTGGGATACTAACATTACAGTTAATAAAAGGTGCTCAAATTTATTAAGAACATTACAGATACTATGGCAATCAAGGAAAGCTGCATTTTTAATCACAGCCATTATAAATGGACATATGGAGGATGTGAGAAATAACAGCCGCCCAGGATGCCCAGGGAAGCATTTTCAGTCCTCAGGCACAGTTCAGTACCAATGAATAGTGGAAAATGAATGCTGAACTCCTATATCATATAATAAGATTTTTTGGTTTGCTTGAAGCAGATCTCCACTTTATACATGGATATACTCACGTATGCATATATATAGAGGCATATGTAACTTACTGCTGAATCAATATTGAACAAGTTTTGCTGTTAGCTCTGAGTATCCAGTGTCTTTCATTTGTCAGCCATGGCCACAGACAATCACAAATTCTGGCTCCTGTGTTTTTCCTTTTCAAAGGCTGCTGTTGTACCTCCTTAGCTATTGTAATATTCTGAATCAAGTATAAAGAAGCTTCCAAATCTCTGCAAGGTCTATGTTTAGCTAAATATATTGCTTAGGCTTGTCTCTGCACACAACAGGGATACATATCTTCGAGGTAAATGAGGAGCATGCAGACTTCCACAGACAGTATCTGACCTCTCTATCATTTTCTCAAAGACATAACATCATGTTTATTGCCAGGTACATGGAATGAAGGCCTCGGATACCCGAATTCCCAGGTGGATTTATAAAAGCAAGGAACAGAAATTCAATACTAATATAAACCTTTAAAAGAATACCGATTAAATGGGAAAGGGGAGGAAAAAACAAATACATCAAAGACAAATGTAATTGCTTTTGAATAAAAACAGATTGCTTTCTACCTACCTGCCTTAAAGGCAAACACTCCAGTCTGGGATACAGAACACCACAATTACTGCTGGAAGCAGAGGCACAACCATTTTGTAGGCAAAGGTATCCTATTCTGATTTAATAGCTCAAAGGCTTATCTGGATTTCAAACAAGAAGAGGATGCAATTTGCTGCTTCTTTCACACAAATGAGCACAGCTAGTTAAAACATCTGGGAACACTTTGAATATTGATTTGTCCTAGAGTAAGATGTAAGGAATTTGACTCGCTGAGGAAATGTATTAATCTTCCAACCTTGATATGCTGCAAAGTGGCCTTCAAAGGAAAGGAGGAGAAGTCCTCCTGGAAGACAGCATCAGAACGAGCTGCCAGGGGACTGCTCGCTCACCTCGCAAGAGCAGGGTTTGCACCAACACCTGCACCTCACCCCAAAGCACACCGATAAGGACGCTGTACCCCTCTGTTCCTCAGAAGTACTGTCACACACAGTTCCCAGAATGTGTCACCATCACAGCCTGTGCCTCACAGCGTGTCAAGACGATCGATCACAGCCGCGATTCACCTTGTTAGGAGCAGCGGCCGCTGGAGAGTTCTCAGTGACACCTCCGGCAGTGGAGGAGCCATGACGGATGTTTGCTGACACCAAACAGAGCCATGTGGTGCCTAACCCCCAGCTCAGCATCCATTTACCTTGGAAAAAGCCTCAGCCTGATTTCAGGTGACTTACAAAAGCACCGGTGACAGCACCCATACCAGTTATGTTCAGCAACAAGCTAAAGCAACCCTGGTTACCGCATCAGAAACCACATAGTTCTGCACTTAACAGCTCGACAGCATCATGGAAAAGAAGGCATTAATGACCCTTACGATAGCATTTTCCAAGGATATAAGCATATTTGTATAGAAATCATCACTTGCACACTGTATACGGCTTACACTTTTGCTAAGTTTTCACTCATCATTTTTCAGAACATCTGCTTCCGATTTTTCCAAATTTTACCCTCTGTACAAAAAATCTGTGAGAATGGGGGAAGACCTGGCAATCTCAGAGGGACCCCAGGAGCATGACTAGGTGAACTTTGCAGGTCCCTTCCAGCTCAAGCAATTATGATTCTATGGTTCCCACCAACAGGGCTGCATCAAGTCCCACATGAGATGGCAGTTCCATGATACCGAGCTTGTAAAGGACTAGATTAAACAGCAAGGAGTTGGGTATTTGGCTCTTCGGTCACAGGGTCAGGAAAAGGCTGGATTTGCTTTCTGTACTTGTATTTGGAATAATGGCACTGCATATCTACAATGAGCATATGAGAAAGGCAATACAAAGCATTACTTCCCAAAGCTGATGTTTTTGCAAAATCCACATCTGAGAAGGGACTGCCAGGATCTAACTCTAACCCGAGTTTGCAGTTTCTCTGCATCAGGAGAAATAGATATCAGCTGAATTGTTCTCATCTCCATCAGTCTTCAACAAAAGAGCCAGCAAAAGAAAAGCTCTGCTCCATTCGCCATATTTCAAGAGGAGGCAAAGCCACCAAGGCAAGATTAACGTTTGAAAGCTTGTGATAACTTTAAGACCTTTTTTTAAACTGTACCTGGTTTAGAGCCTTCATCAACAGATCCATTATAGACTTGGTTTATAAACTCCGGTCTGTTGTCATTCATATCAATCACATAGATGTAAAGGTCAATAGGATTCTCCACCTTGTTTCCATTCATATCCACTGCATGAGCCCGGAGCTGGGAATAAGCACAATGAAAGCATAATATCAGCAATTGGATTTGTTGCAGAATGAGAAACCACACTTTGCAAGAATTGACTTTGCCTCATAAATACTTTCTCACAATTGAACTGAGCGGGTAAGTAATTCCAGCAGAAAGCAGTGATGTGGTTTCCATCTGAACTCTAGACATGCACGTTTTTTCAAAGCTTAACATAATATTGAAATAATATTTTAAAATATTGTCAGTGGAAACACTTAGACTCTGGTGCAGTGATGCCAAGCCCTTCACTGCTAATAGACCACTATGTTCTAATTTTTAAGATGTGCTGAACTTAATCTGACAATCTGAAGAGCAAATTTTGCTTAGCTCCAAACACAGTGAGGAAATGAGATTGACTTGAGAGACTTCTTATGGGAACCTGCAGCCTTTCATACCCACAATAACAGCGATTAATAAGTGGAGAGATTCCAGAAGGGCATTAGTATTGTTTATTCTTTCTTTAATCATAGCCTGTAGGAGCAGCAACATCAACCGACCCCATCGCTCTATGCACCAAAAGACATAAGAACAGTCCCTTTCCTTCAAATGCTAGGAGCCCCCATGGCACTTAAGGATGAAATATTTTCTCAGGCTTAACTAAAATACCAGTGGTGAAGCATTACAATAACCGGAGCCACAGTGTTAAGTCCTCAGCTAAAGTGGAACTGCAGCTTTATCTTATTAGCAATAACCATCAGTAATAATGCTGGAAAACAAGAGCATCTGTTTTCTGAACAAAAGGGACAGCTACAGCATGTCAAAATGAGTAATTAATAAAACAAAGCAATCAACATTAGACTGGAACAATCAGTAACCAGGTGAAGAAAATGGATAGCTTGCTCATTCAAGGGAACAGATGGCTACTCTAAATGGTGCACACGCTGAATGTCGCCGTCAGCCTCCAGAAAAAGGAGACAAGCAGAGAAAGAGCTCTGCAGCCCATAGGTGGGCACTGGAGTACCTTGCTTGGATACTTATGGACAGGGGACATTAAAACCCTCCCGTGGTGAGCACGCTGTGTGCTTCTTCCCCAACACCTCATGATGGGCAAGCAGTGGGGGCTGTGCTCCCCACCTCGAGCGTTGGGTGCTGCAGGCATGGGAGCTCCCATGCATAGAGGTCTCCATCTCCTCTGAAGCGTGACAAATACACACACTAATTGTATTAGCGCTGGCTGCAGCTCTCGCTCTCCCTGTGCTCGTGATTGGTGCCACTTTCTCCTTCATGTGTGGTGTTCAGAAGTCCAGAGCTTAACAAAAGAAACTGCACGCTGCTATGATAGACTGGATTAACATTTAATCAAGCAAAGAGAACAAACTGCCACGTGAAATAGGCTGAACGAAGAACGTTCTTTAAAGGAAGTTAAGAAGCACTTTTTCTTTAGTGACTGAAGAAGTCTGACTTTGCTTTCAATGCAGGATGTACCATTTGTATTTCTCGATTTGTAATGGCCTTAATATCTGCATTCCTTGCCTGAATATAAACTGCTTTGACTCCCACCTGTTGAGCTATCCTTCATCGTGTCAGATGTAGCAATTCAATAACTTTACAAGTCAAAGGTCAGATTGCCTTTGAAAAAAAGTAATTCGGAGCTAAAATTAAAGTTATTATCTTCAAACTGAGGCAGCACTGGGCTGCTTCTTGCTGTATTTTCAGGAGCGGAAATGGCTCCATTCAGAGATAAAGCAGAGAGCAAGGCTGATATCTTCCCCCTCAGATCTAACTTCCCCCTGCAAATTTTTAATTACATTTGAGAGCTTTTGTTTGAAATCTCCAGGAGTTAGGAATTTCTCAGCAATGCGTGTCCATCTGCTTGTTGCACTGCTGAGCACACATATCTATGACTAGAATGCTGCTACCTGCGCTCAGTGGAAAGAAGACTCAGTGAGACAGAGGATCACCTGCCTGCAGTGAGCCAGCATAGCACCAGGATGGGGCTGAGCTATGGGAAGAAGGCAATGCCTGGGGACATGGGCATTCCCCTGTATTTCCACAAGTTTTCTCTTTGCACAGCCTTTTAACAGTTCTTTGTGGTCACATATCTGTATCCTTTCACAAAACACTGCTCTTCTTCTGCAGTCTGTGTCTAATGAAGCAGAGGGACAAGAGATGCTTGAGACAGAGCGTTGTATCTAAGCTCAACTCAGTGGGAGCTCTTCCTCATTAGAGATTGTTCCTCGTTAGAGACCACTCCCAGAAGAAGTTGTTAAAGGAAATGGACTCAATGGGGCAGACTGTCCACTGGAAAACTCACTGTACCTCCAAGGCAGATCAGATACTGCCTTCCTTAAGTCCTCCTCTCCCCATCCCTCTAGCCCTACTCCTTGTGCTCATCCCACGTCTTCAAACCAGAGAACCACTTTGTTCTGGAGTCATTCTTCAAATAACAAAACAGGGCTCATTTGTGCAAGGCACAGTGTGAGTGCACTGCAGCTCTCAGTAGATCAGGTGTGCCCAGTGGGTGCTTTGGGAGCAGACGGGTGGATGGGATGGAAATCAGATGCACGCGAATGTTCCTCCATTGTGAGTGGCAGTGGGTGAGGCACAAAAGATGATGACTGCCCTCAGTCAGGCACAGACATCACCTAGAGCTGGAAAAACCAGTACTGGAAAGGGCAGGGACTTCCACCACGCATCAACCAGAGTGGGCTCCGTATTCCTTAACAAATACTGTTTGAAAGTCTGACAATTGTTGCTATCATATTCTGCAGCAGCCACCACAGGTCTCTGAGGTTTTTCCACTGACAGTCTGCCATGTAAACGTGGCTGTTGGCATACAAATGATTCAGTATCATGATTATTGATTACACTGGAGGCTGGTGGTATCTGAAGGTAGTTAGTCAAAGTCAACACAGTGAATTGTATTAAATATGAGTATTACTTATGCACTAATACTAGTAATACAAATATACATTATCAATCAGTGACAGAGACTCTAAGCAATAAGCATACAATGTCATGACTAATTTGTATGCTCTTAATTGTGATTAAAAGTGCAAATTAGGGCGTTGTGACACAAATGGCTGGCATTACTCACTAGGACTGAGTTAAAAATATTGGAATTAGCTTCCGCATCCCTGATTTTTGACTCATCTCTTTTGTCTCCTTGCACTGCAAATAACTCCTTCTCAGACTGCAACTAACCTGTCCTGCTCCAGCCATCCCAGACATGATGTCATGGGTCTCATTCTGAAGGCACACACATGTGTCTGGGACTGGCTGAGGACTCACTTCTGAGTTCCTCCAGAATGCACATTACTTGTGTATCAGAAGCAGTGTTGATTTATTGACGTGAGGATGTTGTTGATGGCTTTTACAAACAAAATGCAAAGTGCCTTGGAAAATAAACTGCTGATTTACTATCCCTAGGACTGGCCAACCGCAGCTTGATATGAAACTGCTATCTGGATCAGGAAAGCCATTTGGAGTCACTAGTTCTGTCACCAGTGAAAAAAGGGCTTTGGGAATGTAGTTATGTAAGGTGGCTGCATGCAGAGTCTCACTGGGCAGCAATAACCATGAAGGGATGCCTGCAGGAGATGCAGCGACAATCAGAACCCAGTGCAAATGGTAGCAGAAGGGGTTGGGCTGGGCTCACACCAGGAAGGAGCATGCCCTGAAGCTGTGTTCCCTCACATGCAGCTCCAGCACACCTTCACGACCATGTTACAGCTGACACTGCATCTGGAATGTCTACAAGGTCCCTACAGAGCTTGTGCATTGCTTTGTAGTGCAGAAGAGAAAACAGCTGAGGCCCACATAGGGCTGAACTCATGGCCACCAGCACTACAGCCATGCTGTGGAGTCACCTGGCAGACACAGTGAGCCCCAGAGGCACAGCCATCCCTGCATGCATCACATGGAGCATGTCCTGAAAAGCTCATGAAAAACTATGGGGAAGTTCTGCTACAGAACTAATGAGAAAGCATCTATTTCACCTTAGGGAAAAGGTAGGTTCCATCAGATGAATGTCTTGCTAAGTGTGGGGAGAATTAAAATAGTATTTAAAAAATGGTCATCCCAAAGCAAAACAGATAATAAGAAAAAACGTGTTATGAATGTAGGAGTTAATGAAAAAGAACACTTCACCTGTAGGCTCACAAACTTGCAATTTTTTTTCCTTTTTTTATAATTAGATTTTAGAACACTTGGAAATGAATGCAACAAGAACAACGCTCAGCAGTGACAGAGGCACCAAGCAGACAAGCTCAGGAGTGCAGAATGCTGGGCTCCCCTGGCTCTGGGCACTGCAGCCCCACTGCTGGCCTTGTCCAGCATGGGGTCAGGCTCAGAGCATCTACAGGAAAACCTCATAGCAGGTGTCAAACCATCACAAAGATGGTCAGCCCTGAGTCACTGCTTTCTGGTGCTCAGTATGAGTTCCAGGTCTGCTTTTGCCTTTCACTGAGTGGCTGGGCTGTGTGAAGTGGTGAACATTCACTGTCTTCTCCTAGAACAGCCAAAGTTCAGGGCTGGATATTCATTCTGGAGGCTGGCCCTATATTTCCAGCTTCCATGATGGTCCATTCCTACTATATGAACACTGTACCAGTGTTCTGATCACTGCTTTGGAGATGATGTATTTATAAACGCTTTGTAAAGGATTATTAAATGAACAATTGATGATTCAATAAATCATCAATCAATTTCTACTGAGGCTAAGGGATCTAAACATTGTTTACAGCCGTGACTGAAATGATCTCTATCATCTTCCGTTGCTCTGCTAACAAAGATTTTCTATCACTCACCATTCCTGTCTGCAAGCTTTCATAACATATTTATCAGCTATCCACTCTCCATAACCTGTATGTTCCTGTAACCTTCAGAGAGTGAATCTTTTACTCGTGCCTGGAGCTGCTAGGTCAAGGTTTCTGTAAAGAACAGGAGGGCTGGAATTCCAGTGGTGTGCACCATTCACAGAGGTGACAACTCAGTCTGCTGAATTCCCTGAAACCCTCAGGTTAATTTTGTTAGGGCACTGCACAAGTTTTTACTGCAAGGAAATCTTTTTCAGCACATATTTTGACTTAGAGAGTCCATTAGTAGACATCATACAGACTCCATCTAAAGCATTTATGTGTGCATAGTTTTACCAACTACATCATTTTATAGTAACCTGGCATATCAACAATGATGAAATGACACACACGGTATCATCTCAAATATTCCTTTTCCAAAATGATTTCCCTTCATATTGTCACAGGCACAACAAACAAAATAATTGTTCATGTTCACAGAGGATAAAATAACTTCCCTTCAGACTCCCCTTCACTCAGGGGAAATCTCCTTTTTCCACCCAGCTGAAGAGGTAATCTATTTCTTTGTCCTCCCACCCCAGTCCCAAAGCTGTGTCAACATGGTTAACTGGACACCTGATAAAGCTGACAGAATCTGTGTCTCTGGTGGAGCAGTTGGGAATGGTGTCAGTGCAAGTGACCCATATTGCATCACTGACATCACAGCGTCCCTGCGAAGGGCTGTTACGATGCCCACGGATGTGGCTACTGCTGATATAAAGCAATCCATGAAAGAACCTATTACAGCCTCTCTGGGAGACATCTAAAGTGTAGATGCAGAAGGCATTTGAAATTTTGCAGAGCCATCATGTGAGGTGCAACATTTTTTTAAAGCAATTTGTGGGGCTGTGTCCTCTGTGCAATTACACCATGTAATATACAGACTGTGATTTATACCACAACATAACGACCAATTACACTCAAAGTGTACTGCAGGTAGAGCATTTTATGAACTAGGGTAGTGAAAGGCAGCACTTTTGAGAGTAATTAATCTTAATTAATTCCCTCGTATTTGATATTAGCCTATCTGCATATTTAAAAACCTATCTGACACACCCCCATCATACTGCCTGAACATCTCCTAGTAATTTAAAATGAAAAATGACGATGCCAATTATTGCATGTTTAGCTGCAGTAATGATTCCTAAATTAGCAGTTTCCCAAGACATGCTAATGTTGCGGATGGTTTCGCACGGTTTTGAGGGGTTCAGTTCTCAGATAAATCTGCATGGATTTAATAAGCAGCGTGTGGTTGCACCACTTTAAAGAAATGGGTGACTCTGTGCTGGAAAAGGACATTGGTTTAATGCTGTTTTGCACTGGCTTGGCTGATAAAGCCTGCAAACCTAGATAAACCCCCAACTGTCTTTTTTCCCCTTGGCGTATCATGCTTACATGGTAGGAAGCTCTTTCCTCTCTGTCCATCGGGCGGGTCACATACATCCTCCCAGACACAGGGTCAATGCTGAAGACTTCCATTGGCGGCTGGTCGGCTCCCACTCCGGTGATGCTGTACCTGATATGGATCTCTTTGTCCTTATCGGAACGAATCTGGAAGGAATAACAAAGGCGACAGTCAATAAGCTTTGGACAAAAGCCATATGGATGTTTAAACAACTTTAAAGATCTGAGCCTGGAAGCTGCATAAATGTAAAACCGCTGTCAATTTTGACAAGGAACTCGAGCTGTATGCTGAAGATTTGGGACAAAGCCAGAAAAAGTTTCTTCCGCATATTTTCTGTTATTTTTTCTCCTCTTTTATTCATGATGATCCTCTAGGAATCATTGAAATTCTGACTTTTTGCCTTAGATGTGGGAGAATATATATATGCATAAAAAAAATGCCGTTTACTTGCTATTGAAACCGTAAGCTCCTGAAAGTGCCCAGATTGTTCAGTTACAGCCAACATCGCACAGATATTCACCACTTTCAGAAATGCTCCCTGCTGTCCCCTCCATCCTGTTCTCATCCACGTAACTGTGCACACAAATGTTCCCACGACATTTGGAAAGCCAAGCTCCTTGCTCCTGCCTTGTCCAGCCCTGCAGGATGGAGGAGGGAGGCAGGGAATGCCTGGTGGGACGTTACCATTTGCCTATTTGCCCATTTGTTGAGGAAAGGCGCGTTTGGCACATTGCTTCTGAAACTCCTTCCCTCCCATACCTTGAGAAACACATAACAAATCAAATACAGCGTGACGAATTACACGTACCTTGGATACAGAGACAAGAAAATAAAAAAGGGAGGTTAATATGTTGTCCTAGCAACCCTGACTATCTCCTTAAACCCAAATTTAATTTTCTGATCAAATGCTGAAAGAAGTTCTTGCAACACCATGAGTATTCCTGAAACAAAGCGCAAGGTACAAATAAATTAGCACCCCCTGCACCATCACAAACCATCCTGGCAGCATAAAGCAGTGCATTTATTTCCTCAAACAGGCCTATGAATAAAACAAAGTAGTGAGAAGATAATGGAAATCTTGTGAGTGAGTGCACATCAGCACCTCCACTCTGGCAGCTGCCTTGGGGGGGCTCAGCAGGGGTAGGAGGCCCCATAGTGGGGGGCAGAGGTGCCTTCCCCAGCAGCAAGGGGTTGGGATGGACTATGGGCTGCTCTCGCACTCCTCCCACACATCACCATCGCTATTTCCTCCTCTCCTGACACAGCGTGCTGAACGTCGGTGCAGAATGACACCACATCTCCAACAAGCATCTCCAAGCATCTCCTTTGATGCCTTTGTCCCAATCGTTACCAAGTTTGTACACTCGTTTCTTCGCGCTGCCTCCACTGAGCAGTCTGCTGCTGCCAACAGCTAATGATGTCAGTTATTGCTCGGCACCGTGAGGATTGATTCGTGCTGCACCCACACTGCTGGAGCTGAAGGTCAGGGAATACAGACGGTTTCATCCGTCTTTCTCTACAGGATTCGCTGCTTCTTTAGGCTATTAGCACCAAGAAAAACTGATAGGGCTTGCACTGGTGTCATCACTTAGAACAGGTACTGGGGACACAGAGAAAGTGCCCTCGTGCCGCACACCGCCGTTTATGCAGGTCTGTGTGTGCCCAGTGGTATTTATACTGGGGACCCGAGCAGTCAGGCAGGAATCCAATTTTCATTAGCAAATCCATGGGTGAAGAAGAGTATATTAAACCTAAGCTTTGCTTGCACAACTGTGGTTTTAATGATGGCAAATGGCCCCTTAGCTCAGTAACTGAAGTCTGTAGTGCCCATTTTTAGAAACTCAGCTCTCACCCCATAGGAAATGGGATTTATGTGAATGCCTGTGCAAATGAATAACTCAAGTCAGGGGTTCAAGCTCTAACCCACTATGCACGTGATTCTAGCTAGGCTCAAGGTAAGTGAAAATGTAGGAAGTGTGGGGTTTCCATCTCTGAAATTAAGAAGAAAGAACAAAAAAAGGTAACTCAGACCGCATAGCTGTGTGCCCATCACCATCACTGAACCTGCATCAGGGTGTCAGCACATTTGCTGCCTTTTTACTCACTGAAACACAGAAGCCAGGAGGGGCTCCTCAGGCACAGACCCAACCCCAATTCAGCTCAGCTACAGCCATGGCTAAAGCACAAAGCACCAAACAGCAAACCAGCTTCCCTCCAAGAACTGAAATGGAAGCAATTTTAACCTGAATCACAGAAGAGGAGAGTCTGCCAGTTCTTCGTGGACATTTTTATGCTCTATTTCCTGTTGCATACAGTACCCCGATCCCATTGTGATAGAAGCATTAGAAATGCATAGAGAGAGACGGAAACATGGAAAAGGAGGCTGGATTTAAATATTTAGTGCTAAAGGCACTATATTTTATTTTCAGGAAACACAGATAAACAGAAGCTCTCTAAGAAAGCTATGTACAGTTTAATAAAGTGCATGCTATAGGATGTCCTTGCAGCACTTTATTAGCATTAATAGGGTCTAAGCTGTCTGTATGTAAATCACTGCAGATCTGTGAGATGAAATATATCATAAGACCCACACAACTTACCCAATTATACTATGAAAAAATCCATCAGACGATTATACTGTACAGAGCAAAACAAAGACAGGGAAATACATTGCAAATATTCAGCAATGACTCATTATTCGTTGCTAATTGCCAACATACTACAATGGTTTGCCTTTTACCTGCACTTAGCTCCATTTCCATTAAGAATACAAGGATGCGAAATGTTCAGAGAATATGTACAAGCAGCACTTGCCATAGAAAGTTGCAAAGACCACTGACAATGAAGCATAGCACATATTACTACCAGGGAGATATTCATCGCAAAAAGGCACACGCTTATATTGGAACGTGTAATTTTAGTGCTTTTAATGAGATTTAAAAAAAAAAAAAAAAGATTTTTTTTAACAGTAATCCTGTAACATTTTGACCAAAAGTTTCATTTGCATAATTCCCAGGGTGCAATTTAGTAAATCTTGTTGAGAAGTTAAGAACATTATCGGAATACAATGCAAGGTTTACTTCTTTTGTTGGAACCGTTACTGAAGCAGTTTACCATAATAGTAATAATAATAACAATAATAATAATAATAAATCTCTATTCCCAAGGAACTCACTAGGTCAGGAGAAAAAAATTACTGGCTGGAGGAATTTACAAGCTCAGGAGAGGGTTGCTTTTTCATTCATTTATGCCTGGGAAGTGAGAAGATGGTAACATATCCATATTATAACATTCTGACTGCAGAACACACACATGAATTTTATTCATTTATCTTTCATTTTATAATGCAGTCAGTAGCTATGCGGGTTTCTGGGTTATAAAGCAGATGGCAGAAGGATGGTTTTCCTTCGCTGTAGTTACATGTTTTTTGCTCAGGGAACCCTCAGTGCTTCGAGGTCCAGCACCAGGCGTGGCACAACACTGCATCTCCTGATGGGAGCAGGATGAATGATGATGCTTGGTGAATGTCACCACGAAATTTGCTTGTAAAGCAGCTTTTACTCTCTAAAAGAGCCCTTTGGGATGGAGCTCAGATTAGGTTGCTACACTGGTGAGGGAAAATGCCCCAGACAGAAAGGCAGTTTATGGTGGATGATGCAATCTCCTGATCTTATTGCATCTCAGGAGCACAGGTGAGACTTTCCATGAAAGAACCTTGGGATGCAGAGTGCACACCTACGCTGATGGGTACAGACGGACCACTTGCACCCACAGCCCCAAAGCTGGATGGCCATGCAGGGGCTATGGGGTCTGAGCTCCCCGACTGATTTCCCAGCCAAAATTGAGCCCAGGGGCAGTGGTCAAAGCTTGTAACTCAGAAACAGAATGCCAGGAGTCTGACACAGCTCTCACTTCTACAGAGTAATCCCAGAAACAGGAGAAATCAGCATCATTTCACAGATGGGTATTTTCCACTAGAGGTTTAGATATAATAACTAATGCGTGTGAAAATGAGCATTGTAGATCTTGAGATAAGACAGAGCTAAGCCTTTCAGAACTGACTTTCTGCTTTGTAGCAATGTCACATTTAGATGGGCTTGAAAAGCTGCCAGCTTGTGACACAGGATTGCATCCCTCCTTTGCAGATAAAATTTTAGGGTTTGTGCATCTCTGCCAGGATTTAACGTGGAGCTAAACTGTTCTCACAAGTTTTATTGGCAAGCACAATTTCCACTGAGGAGCTCCTCAGATTTTATCCCTCTGTTTGGCTCCTGCTGATCTGTAGCCCCCCTGTGCTCCAGCACTGCCACCCCTCACTGCAGGGTGCAGAATGCACAAACCCTCTGAGTGACAGGGAGAACTGCAAAGAATGAGGGGCACTGAGAGCTGCACAGTCAGCATGTTGGAGGACTCCAGTGAGTCCGTAAATTGCCCGGGTTTTGGAGCATGACACTGACAGAGAAAAGTGGCACAGCAGAGGTTGCTTAGAGTAGGAATGGGGATATCAGGTTGGCTATTGGGAAAAATTTCTTTTCAGGGAGGTGGTGAGGTCGCCATCCCTGGAAACGTTCAGGAATCATGGAGATATGGCACTGAGGGATGTGGGCAGTGGTAAGGATGGGCTGGATGGGGCCTGGGGATCTTAGAAGCCTTTTCCAACCTCCATGATTCTTTGATTCTGTGATTCTACGCCTGGAAGTCTAGGCAAGTGGATATGTAGAGAAATGCTGAACAAGGGAGGATTCTGAGCCTGCAGAGAGGGCAGCACCAACAGCAACAGCACTCCTGGATATAACAAGCTACAGTTAGAGGATAGGAACAATCTTTTATTTATTCTCTTCTGGACACTCACAGCCTTTCTACAGTTCTCAAACCGCTGCCAGTGGCAGGTTGGGACCAAATTTAAGTAAAACAGCAAAAGCAAGAGCTTGCATGCAACTGCAGTGAAGAGGATGATGTATTGTAAATACACAAAGCAACCTTAGTTGGGTTTCATTCTTCACAGAACGAACAACAAGCAACTAACCTACTTATATGGTCTCCACACTTAGAAACACACAACTGTCTTGGAGTTTTAAGACCTGTGAGTTAACTGGGCAGCACGTCATCACGTGTGGATTAGTAAAATCAAACCTGATGTTGGCGT